ACCTCCAGCTCTTGGGCTTAGGCAATTCTCTTGCCTCAGCCTCCTGAGTAGCTGGGACTACAGGCGCCCACCACAACACCTGGCTATTTTTTTGCAGTTTGGCTGGCACAGGGTTCGAACCCTTCACCCTCAGTATATGGGGCCAGCACCCTAGTCACTGAACCACCCGTGCTGCCCATTCATGGTAATTTTTAATAAAAGTCGCAGGAAACTATTATGTTCCTAAAGGACATAAGATGGGGCAAGCAGCATACAGACCTAAAAAAAGTAAAGAGGGAGCTAAAGAGGAAGATAATAGGGGAGAATAAGAGCTTTGATGGGCTCCTACGTATACTACGAAATCCAGAATGCAACATGCAAATCCAGGTCTGGATACATAATCAGGACAGACTTAAGAGGATCCTAGATTGCATCTTTGATCTTTGGGTCCCAAGGAAGCAAAAAGTAAAGGCTGAGAAGATAGTGTTATAATAAACCTGGCTAAGCAATGAACAAGTGCCCTAGCTCAGAACCAATCTACAAGTCCTTTGAAAGTTGTCTTTTTCTTTGTGCACTATCTCTTTCTATTTGGGGGGGTGGGGATCTAAAAGTATTAATAGAAATTTCTGTTAGTGATCACACATGACAAGGAATGCAATGTTTGCCAAAAAAGCTTGGAAAAGTCAATAAATGTATGACTATAGCCCACAACAAGCAACAACAGAAAACCCTGGAGAGGCAGAAATCAGATTTCTAAAGTTACTACATTGTAATATGTGAATATTCAAAATGCCTGGTTTTCAACAAGAAATTACAAGACATACAAATATGGAAACATATAAGACATACAAGGAAAGTATGGCCTTTTCACAAGAATAAGAAATTGAGAGACACCATCCCTGAAAGCCGAAACACTGCACTAGAAAAAGACTTTAAACCAACTGTGTTAAATGTACTCAAAAAGCTAGAGGAAACTGTGGATAAAGATGTTTGCACAAATAGAGAATATCAACAAAGAGACAGAAATTATAAAAAGGAATCAAATAGAAATTCTGGAGCTGAAAAGTAAAGTAACTAAAATGAAAAATTCACTAGAAGAGTTCAGAAAAAGAATTGAGGACACAGAAGAAAAAGTCAGTGAACTTTCAATTAAATATTCTAGTTTGAAGAGCAAAAAGGGCTCGGCGCCTGCGGCTCAAGCGGCTAAGGCATCAGCCACATACACCTAAGGTGGCGGGTTCGAATCCCCAGCCCGGCCCACCAAACAACAATGAGGGCTGCAACCAAAAAATGGCCAGGCATTGTGGCGGGCACCTGTAGTCCCAGCTACTTGGGAGGCTGAGGCAGGAGACTCGCTTGAGCCCAGGAGTTGGAGGTTGCTGTGAGCATGATGCCATGGCACTCTACCCAGGGGGATAGCTTGAGGCTCCGTCTCAAAAAAAAAAAAAAAAAAGAAGAGCAAAAAGAATAAGAATTAAAAATGAGCAGAGTTTCAAGGACCCGGGGGATACCATCAACTGTATCAACTGCCTGTTCTGCAGAATGGTAAAGTTGATCCCAAAATTCATTTAGAAATACAAGGGATAGCCACAACAATCTCAGAAAAGGAAAATGTTGGAGAACATACTTCCCAATTTCAAAATTTAGTACAAAGCTTATAATAATCAAAACAGTATGGCTCGGCGCCTGTGGCTCAAGTGGCTAAGGCGCCAGCCACATACACCTAAGGTGGCGGGTTCGAATCCCCAGCCCGGCCCACCAAACAACAATGAGGGCTGCAACCAAAAAATGGCCAGGCATTGTGGCGGGCACCTGTAGTCCCAGCTACTTGGGAGGCGGAGGCAGGAGACTCGCTTGAGCCCAGGAGTTGGAGGTTGCTGTGAGCTGTGATGCCATGGCACTCTACCCAGGGGGACAGCTTGAGGCTCTGTCTCAAAAAAAAAAAACAAAACAAAAAACCAGTATGACACTGTCATAAGGAAAAACATACACCAATGGAATGGAATAGAAAGCCCAAACCATCATACACTATGTCTCCCCGAAAATAAGAACTACCCCCAAAATAAGCCCTAGCAGGATTTCTATGCATTTGTTAAATATAAGCCCTACCCCATAATAAGACCATGCATTTCGGTGCCGAGCAGTAAGGAAGAATGGAATACCTTTTATTTGCCACAGCTCCTTTCTCTGAGCCGTTGGCACTTGCGCGCCTGTGCATGTGGTAAGTGCAGTCACAGGCATCCTATTGCGCATGTGCAAATGGCTAGGGGAAAGGAATTCATGCATCACTAGCACCAGCCCCACCAACAAGGTCCCCTCCCCCTGTCAGGTTCCAGAAGAAGATGACTTAACTGTATTTGAATAAATGTAGATTGTTGTATTATACTTAATAAAAATAAGACAACCCCTGAAAATAAGCCGTAGTGTGTCTTCTTGAGAAAAAATTAATATAAGACAGTGTCTTATTTTCAGGGAAACAAGATATATGATCAATTGATTTTTGACAAGGTTATCAAGACCATTCAAAGGAGAAAAGGACAGTCTGTTTAACAACTAGTCCTGGGAAAACTGGATATCCACATGCAAAGTTGGACCCTTTCCTTACATGATGCATAAATATCAACTCAAAATGGTAGCTTCTCAATAAATTAAATATAGATTACCATATAACTCAGCAATTCTACTCCTATATATTTGGGTATGTGCTCAATAGCATAGAAAAAAAGTGTTCAAAACAAACAAAAAAAAACTTAATACAGAAATGTTCATTGTGGAATTACTTACAAAAGACAAAAGATGAACACAACCCAGATATCCATCAACCGATGAATGGATAAAGAAAATGTGGCATATCCATACAATAAAATATTATTTAGCCATAAAAAGGAATAAAGTACCAATATGTCTAGAACATGAATAACATTGAAAACTAAGTGAAAGAAGCTAGTCACAAATGATTCTACTTATTTGAAATATCCAGAGTCAGAAAACTCTGACTCAGAAAGGAGATTAGTTGTCAGGAACTAAGAAAGAGGAGAATGGGGAGTGAGTGGTTACTGGTATGAGATTTCCTTTTATGGTGACAAAAATGTTCTAAACTAGATAGTCATGATAGTTGTACAACATTGTGAATGTACTAAATGTCACTAATGGTAAATTTTATATTATGTACATTTTACCACAATTTAAAATACAAAAATTATTAAAATTCCCTCAAACCAGTGGACATGATTTAATGGAGATATCTTTCCTTGTTCAGGGACAGAGCCCTGTCTGCTCTATGAACAAACATAAAAAAATCAACTCAGAATTTCTAATAAATTGATAATTCCAGATTTTAATTATCAAGCAAGGTTCTGTAGTCAACCCAGTCTGTGCACCTACCAACCAGTCTACTTCACAGAAATCCCTTCAGAGCACTTTTGCCTCTAAGATAATGATGCTTCCAAAATGCGGAAAATCCAACTAGGTAAGCTTCACTGTTTATTAAACAAAGCACTTTGTCTAGGATTCCCCATCCTGAAGCTGTCTAGTTATAAGACTGGAAGCTGAATGATCCAATCCTTCCAGCTTTTCTGGTCACAGTAAAAGTCACACTCTGTTGACATAGCTGTCATCCACCTAGGATCTACTCTTTCAAAAAAAGGCATTTCAATTAGAAGGAAACTCTGGACTCAAAGCACACAAATCCCCTTTCTGCTGTACTTTCTAGATTAAGTGTGTTATTACTAGGTTCATTCCATTTCCTTGCATGGTGAGAACACTGTTTTTCTTCCCCTTGCCTTGAGAACACATGAGTGAATTTCCATTTTCTCAATCTTAATTAAATGTTTTCTTCATTTTAGCTGTAATAGTTTGGGGCTGATCTGCCTCACATAGCCTGAAAAGGATAGGTTAGATCTCTGCAACCTCAGGAGGCGAGCCAAGGTCTTTCCTAAAACATCTCCCATTTGTGATGCCAACAAGACCTCACAACCACAGATGCCCGGACTGGAGATGGCAAGATGGAGGCTGTTACACCTCTGAATGCCCATGTCACCACTGTCAGGAAGTACAGGGTGGGAAACAGGAGACTTACTGGGCTGGATAATAGGACCAGGGATAAAACTGATCCAAATCAGTCACTGACCTAACTATCTAAGTCTGAATTCTGTTTAACTTGAGAGAGGTCCTCAACAGAAGGCTTGCAGCCAGCCTCCGTTTCTATTCAGCCCCCAATATCATGCAAAAGAAAAGAAAGCTGATGCTCCTGCTATTCCTTCACTTGTTACATAATTTGAAACCTTCAGGGGAATTTGGTCCTGGAAATGAGCTTTCTAAATTCTTTCAACCATGTTCTTTCCTGAGCTGATTTGTACAAACCGTATCTCCAAGCTGAACTAGACAGAAAAACAAAGGCTTTCAGAGAAGCCCTAATACTCACATTTTGGATAATTCCAGAATTCTCAAAGCCCTCAAAGAAATGCTTCACCCTTAGAAAAAATAATGTTAGCACCTGGATGAACTGGCTGCTCCACTCTTCATGTTGAAGGGAGCACAGAGAAAGAAAAACTGAGGACTTGTTGACTTCCCAGCTAGTTGGGGGCTAAGGCTTGGCCTCAGTGGCAGCACAGGAAAGATAGAAGTTTTCTTGTAGTTCAGAAGTTTATTAGTGAATGGGTTTGGACCAGTTGGTGTTTACATCTTGATCCCTACAAGCCCTGTTGTATTGGCTTTCAGGAAACTGATGTGTGGAGTTGCTGCTCAGCTGGTCACTGGTGATGTTACCCCAGGATGATGATGGGCTCTCTCCTGGGCTCAAGCTGCCAGGGCTCCGAGCCAGTGTTATCAGAGAGACTTCATTTTTGCTCTCTGCGCATGGGCTGGGGACATGAGGGTTTCTAGGATCTCAGTGTAGTAGGGGCCAAACACCTGCTGATTGTGATATGTAAAGTTGACAAATTTTTGGCCCAGTTCTGCCAGCTCTGCTTCTATGAGAGTAAGGCCTCCAGGGAGGTCTAACAGAGACCTCTGCACACCAAGAACCAAACAGCATTTGAGAAACAAATGGATCCGCTGATCTGTGAAAAGACAATGAGAAGGGAAAGGGCAAATAGATTTTAGGGAGAAACACTGACCCTGCTCTCCACTCACCACATTGAGTTAACTAAGATATTCACCAACCTGTCGCCTATAGATAAGGAGGTTAGTATCTAGCTCTCAAGGACAAAGCAAGATCAAAAACCAGTAGGTTAGTAAATTTCTGACTATTCAAAAAAGAATAGTGCTAAGAAGCCATCAGTTAGATGTTAGTGGGAATCTGACATAACAGCAAGTAGAGTGATCTTTCAGATGGCTATGTTAAAAGCAAGTTGGCCAAGCTCATTCCCTCCATTCCAATATAGGAGTCAGGGAGTCCCTACTATGGGAACATGTCTTCCAGCCTAATTCATCATCAGTTTCTTGTTGGAGGAAGGTGGATATCAAATATCTTAGACTGTAGTCACAGAATGACTAAGCAGCAGGCCAGCGTGACTTGATAAGGTTGGTTAGACAGTGTCACACACTTAGAAGTCATGATGAATTCCTGGATGGAAATCTTCCCCTGTACTACAGAGTCAGCCTTTTTACTGAAATGGATATATTTTTTCAATCCAATATTTTGAAAAAATTAAAGGCTAAATAGTGACTTACCCAATAACCATGCCTTATCTTGGCAAATGTTTGGGTAACTCACTTCTAGGGTTAGGATTTACCTCTCCCTCCAGTGTTTTCACCACCTCACAAGCATGCTCACCAATGACACTGCGAACACAGTTCTCCTTCTTGGCAATGTTCTGGAGCTGTATTATCAGGGATGCTGTACTGTCACTGCTCAGATCAGCAAGACCCATATTCTTGAGGCTTTGATGGATTTCCTGAGATACCTGTTCACTCACAGCCAGCATTGCCTCCTCTGGCCTAGACCATAAAAAAGAATAAACTGGCACCCAGCAGGTGGCCCTGGCAAGGAAGCTCCACACCAGAAGCAAGGCCTACTTGAAGGAGAATCCCAGCCATCCTCCCCACTCCCAACCTACAGCCCCTGGTAGGCAGCAGGGCCCAGTGGACATCTTCACTGTAACCCTTAAGCTACCAACTCTATATATGATAACATGTTCTACTTATCAGTAAACAAGATAAACTATAATATCAACTCAGGAAAAGCACTGTTCTGTCTTTAGATCTACTCAGCATTCTTTAGTCCCATGGACTTTTTAATTAATTACTTAATTAATTTTGGGAATTTGGGTCTCATTTTGTCACCCAGGCTGGAGTGAAGTGGCACATTCATAACTGGAGTGAAGTGGCACATTCATAACTCACTGCAGACTTGAATTCCTGGGCTCAATAGATCCTCTCACCTTGGCTGAGATTATAGGTGTGAGCCATCATACCCAGCCCTTTCTTTTTATATATATATTTTAAAGACTTCCTTGGGCATTTTCCATGGTCATTTGTCTTAACTCACTAATCACAATTACAAATCTAGCCTTCTAATTCCTCTTTATGCTTTGGTGTGATGGTGGACACACAGTGGATGTTCGATCAATATCGCTGACTGACTGACCAACTCCTGGATGTACATAATAATAATACCAGTCTCCTGTCATCTACTCAACTAGATAATGACTCCTTTGTAGCAAACTACCTCTACACTACTCCTTTTGGAAGAAAGTTTACTTTTCTTTGTCCCAGATTTCAAGATCACTTATGGAAAGAAACCAACAATCTTTGTGGCTCCAAAGGGGCTTTCTGAGGTTTGGGAGAAACCCTGACCCTGCACCCTACTCATCACATTCTGAGTTAACTGAATGAGAGGGGAAAGGGCAAACAGATTGACTCCAAAGGGCCTTTCTGAGGTTTGGGATAGACAGTGAGCCATCATTCATTACCTGCCTATGTCCTAAATACGAATACTCTAAAAAAGAGCTATGCACCTTACCTGGAGTTAAAGTCCTCCATCAGGGACCTGGTTATGCGTTTCAGTTTATCCACAAACTGGGGTGAGCCAAACAAAACACTGCCAGAGAAACTACTGGCCACGAGCAAGACTGAGGCCAGGATAGTTAGCTGGTGCAACTGGGACTCCAGCTCCTGCAGCCGGGTTCTGTCCATCACCAGGGTCTGGGGACCAAGGAGAACTAGGCTGTCAGGAAAGGAGGTTCCTGATGGAAGCCCTGAATACAAAATAAGGCAATGCCCTCAGACATTCCTACCTCAGGGAACTCTTCATTCTCAGGGTCCCAGAGAAGGAGGTTCAGGAAGCCCTGGGACAGCACCATTGAGGGGCTGAGGGGCTCTGAGTTGTTGGTTGCTTCATTTGGAGAAGGGCCAGCCACACTGGAAGAATCAGCAGTGTCAGGACAAGTCGGAGGTGGCATGGTGAGGTCTGCTGCTGCTTTGGTCAACCATTTGGTGGTATGATTGAGGAGGCCTGTGACAGGGAAAGGGATGTGTAAGCATCTTCAGCATTTTAATCTCTGAGACTTTAGGACCAAGGTTCTTTTCAAGACAGACTCCTGGTCAATAAATAAATGCTTTAAGAGTCTTTCTGTCTTAAATAACTGTTTCTTCTCCCTCTCTTTACCTGAGGAAGAAACTTTTTATTCCTAAAAGAGACAGAGTACCCTCTAACATCATAAAAGTCAGACCCAAGGTCATGTCTTCCCACTCCTGCCTTCACCTTATATATAATACATACTAGGTTGCTTATTGAGGAGCTCCTGGAATTTAGCCCGCTCATATTGGATGGAATGTTCCTGGCGGTGGGGTTGAAGGCTCTGGATAGTGTAGTTTACCATGTCCATTTTCATCAGGCCCAGAACCTGGAAGATCCCTCTGACACAGGGGGGAAATAAAATATTTATACTATGAAAAGAAATGTAGTAAGCTGGAATCACTAAATTACTATATTCTAGAGTTAGGAGGGGCCTGAAAACTAACTTAGTTCTGCCTCATATATTTAGGGAAGATGACATGCAGCCCATGACCTAAGACCCAGGGTGAGTCAGAAGCTTAACTGGGAACAGGTGAGTCTCCGGACCCTGATGCCTCTGGTCTAGATCTCTTTCACTATTGTCATTCTGTTGCTTCTTAAAAAGGGTAGTCAGTGGAAAAAACTAAACCAGCATGTTAACAATTCTCTTTGGAAAGTGGGAGTATAGGTGATGTTATTTCTGACTCATTGAGCCACTCACTTTTTCTTTCTTTTTTTTTTTTTTTAACTTTTTGAGTCTTGGTTTCTATAGGTATGAAATAGAAATAATTTCCCATCCCTGACCCCTCATAGTGTATGAACCGGGAAAAGAGAAAACCTGGGAAAGGGATTTTTTTTTTTTTTTTAGAGATAGAGTCTTACTTTGTCACCCTTGGTAGAGTGCTGTGGCATCACAGCTCACAGCAACTTCAAGCTCTTGGGCTTAGGCAATTCTCTTGCCTCAGCCTCCCGAGTAGCTGGGACTACAGGTGCCTGCCACAACACCCAGTTATTTTTTTGTTGTAGTTTGGCCAGGGCCGGGTTTGAACCCACCACCTTCGGTATATGGGGCCAGCACCCTACTCACTGAGCCACAGGTGCTGCCCAAGGAAAGGGATTTTTTTTTAACTCTTTGAAAGAAATAATTATGTATTCTAATGTCTTATCTTTAATATAGAGGATCTAATCAATCTCAGGATAATCAAAAGGCCCTGCATGGCCATCTTTGGAAAAGAAAAGCCAATAGATCAAAGTGGAGAGAAGGAGAGGCGGCCTGTGGCTCAGTGGGTAGGGTGCCGGCCCCATATATGTTGTGGCGGGCATCTGTAGTCACAGTTACTCGGGAGACTGAGGCAAGAGAATAGCCTAAGTCCAAGAGCTGGAAGTTGCTGTGAACCATGATGCCATGGCACTTTACCGAGGGCGATAAAGTGAGACTCTGTCTCTAAAAAATATTAAAAAATTAAAAAAAGAGGAGAGAAGGAGTATAATCAAGTCTTCAGAAGGGAAAGGCTGGTATTAAAACAAAAACAAAAACAATAGCTATAACCCAGTGTCTGCCCCAGCTTTTCCCGGCCCAAAGGCATCAAGTTTCACACCTCAGCAACTGAACAGGTTCTGTCACGTTTTCCAGCTTCTGCACTGCTTCATCTCGAACTGGTGCACACAGCAGAGTCATCATGTTGAGAATATATTTAGAGAGGTAAGGGACATCCAGGGCCCCACGTTCTGCTTTCTGCTTGAGAAAGTCCATGTTCAGAGCTTCTTCAATCTCAGTCCTCAGGCGGTTCTGGCGTGGTAACAGCAGTGACAGCAAGATCTGCCCAAGAAAGCCAAAGAAGTTGCATTGTGTTTAAAGCCCCAAGCTTTCTCCAGTGGGCAATCCCTTTAGCTAAAGACATCCCAGCTTATGTCTTTTTTCTTTTTAAATGTGGAATGCTTCACAAATCTGTGTGTCATCCTTGCATGGGGGCCGTACCTAATCTTCTCTGTATTGTTCCAATTTTAGTATATGTGCTGCCAAAGTGAGTATTCTAGCCTATGTCTTTTAAGGATCAAGAAGTTGGGTCCCTAAGTTTCCTATAGAATATTATTTACCTTTGGTTAGAAGCCAGTGATAATTCAAGGGTTAAGGGGATCAATTACAGCAGAACTACACCTAGTAACCAACTTGCAAAACTTTTGTTTCCCATCCCACTAAGTTTTGCTGGTTTGTGTGAAGTACTTGTATCGGTTCTAGTAAACTAGAAGATGGAAACCATTACCTGGCCATTTGGGACTCCTTACACCACTGAACCAACGGGTTCAAAAAAAGAGTTACTCTACTGGCTGGGGTAACTGACCCTGTGTACCAAGCAGAAATAGGATTGCTGCTTCACAATGGGGGCAAGAAAGACACTGCCTGGAACCCAGGAGATTCTTTGAAGTGCCTCTTAGTACCTTGAAGCTCACTATTAAAGGTTAGTGGAAAATCACTGCAAACAAATAAAAAGAACAAAATGTCTAAGACTAAGAGGCAAAAAGGACTCAGCCTTTGTCAATGAAGGTTTGGGTGACTCCAACAGATAAAGAACCCTAACCAGCTGAAGTCCTGGCTAAGGACAAGGGACACATAGAGTGAATAGTGAAGAAGGAAGCTATAGATATCAACTATAGCCTTTTGGCCAATTACAGAAATAAGGACTATAAATTTTCCTTTGCTTGTTATAGGTGTGTTTCTTTACCTAAGCTGAATGGTATATACTAACCATTTTGTTCTTCCTCTTCCTTCCCTTTATTATTTTATACACAGTTAGAACTTAACTTTACAATTTAGCTTTTAGGGAACAAAATATTCAATGGCACAGTGACTGGACTTGAAGAACAGCCAGTGATGGATACCATAACTTGGGCCATATGTCTCCTCACTTGGGGGAGGATGAAACTCATAAGACAAACAGCTATTTATTGTTATGTAGAAATAGAGTTCTCTTCAGGAATTCAAATGGTGCATATGGAAGCTGAGTAGCCAAAGGAGCGACTATGCCATTTATTAATATATTGCCTCACAGATCCAAATCCATTATCCTTTTCTCTTCTCTGTGAAAATGAAGCTAAGACCTTTCAATGTCTTTTACAAGATGACTATATACATATGTGTGTGTGTGTATTTTTAAATAGAGAGAGCCTCACTCTGTTGCCCTAGCTGGAGTGTAGTAGCACAATCGTAGCTCACTGCACCTCAAACTCCTGGGCTCAAGCAATCTTCCCATCTTGTCTTCCTGAGTAGCTGGGACACAGGCACACACCATCATGCCTGGCTTGGAGTCTTGCTATATTGCCCAGGCTGGTCTCAAACTCCTGGCCTCAAGCAGTCCTGCCTCACTCTCCCAAAGTGCTAGGATTACAGGCATGATGCAGCTATTGTGCCTGACCCTTGACAGTACAAATTTTAAGCTTTATCTGTGAAGGGTGTTATTTAGTTTTCTGTACTGTGTAACATTTGCCATAAACTTAGCAGCTTAAAAACAATACCTACATTTGTTATCTCTCTGTTTCTGTGGCTCAGGAGTCCAGCCACAGTATAGCTGGGACTTCTGTTCAGGGTCTCTCAAGGCTGCAATCAATGTGTTAGCTGGGCTACATTCTCATTTGGAAATTTGAGTGGGAAAGATTCTGTTTCCAAGCTCATTCAGATTAATTCCTTATAACTGTATGTTTGAAGACCTCAACTTGCTGTTGGCTGGATGCTACCACCAGGTCCTAAGGAGGGTGCACAATTCCCTGCATACCCTGCAGTTCCTTGTGGCCCTGTCCATAGATAGTTTACAACATATCTGTTCCTTCTTCAGGGGCAACAGAAGAATCTCTCCTTCCAGTTTGCTAAGATGAAGTCTTATATGATGAAATACAATCATGGGAGTGATAGCCCATCACCTTTGCCATATTTTACTGGTGAGAAGTTGCAGATCTCACCTATAATCAAGGGTGCAGATCACTGGGGGTCACCTTAAGGTATGCCCACCATATATTATAAAGCCAGTGCAAAGACAAGCACTTCTCTCTGGGCTCTGGTATGCACACTTGGCAGGCTCCTGCAGCATTCATGGCTGGTCCAGTGCTCAGTTCCTGCAGTGCAACACATAGAGGCCAGCAACTTCCCCTGGCCTAGCCGTGCCCTCTCAGATGAGGTCCTTGGATGTTCCATTTCAGCCCTGGGGTATAGTGGATGCCCCTTTTATCTGATATCCCAAGATTCTTTAGAGTTCTTTGTACTTCTTACTAGCTAAGCCCTCATCTCTCTAATTCCTTGTTATAATAATTTTTATATTAAACCTTTCCTGTTCAAATTACTGTCTACTGATGTAATTTCTGTAATTCTGTCTACTGATTAGATTCTGACTGATTCACAAATTATGTTCAGTTAAGATTTGCTAGCCACGGATACTTCAATGAGCTGGTGTTGTCTAGGAATTTTATATCTATCCATAGAAGGTCAGCCACTCACCTCTTTAATTTCTTTCAGAAGTTCAAGAGCGCAGCTGAAATCAGGGGGAGCTGCTGACATTTGCTCTTTAAGATGGTCCCAAAAGGCATTGTGCATTGTCTCCTTGACTTTGCCTTCCAGACTGTAAGGGGTTAAATGAGCAAATTACTCCCTCTACCCCAAAACTATTATAATCTCCTAAGCCCTAAATAGCATTTAATATGGTAGAAGAGATGGGGAAAAGCTAGGAACTATGTGTGAACTATAGCAGAGTTGAATAAACTAGGGTTACACTTGGATTTCAAGAGCATCAGCAAAGCTTCCAGAAGGGCTCCTTCTGATTCAAAGCAGCCCTCCCTCTGTAGGAGGAAGAACCCTGAATGGAGAAAGGATAGGCTCAATTTTAGCCCTGATTGTATATCTAGCATAGATGTATGACTTAGTTTTCATTTATGTAAATAGTTTGAGCTAAATAAATGCTATTTATGTAAATAGCATTGAGCTAAATGAGCTTTCATTTTCTTATACTCCTAAAATCAAGGTGCACTACCATCTAACTAGTCATAGAAGCCAGAAAGATCAGGGTTGTTTTTTAACCTTAAAAAAAAATACAAGAAGCAAAGGCAATCCAATTTAGAAAGGAGAATCTTTCAACAAATGGTGTTGGAACTACTAGGCATCCACATGTAAAAAAGTGAATCTAAACACAGGCCTTATATCCTTCACAAAAGTTAACTGAAAATGGATCACAGATCTAAATTTTTTCTTTTTTGAGACAGAGTTGCACTTAGTCACTCTCGGTAGAGTGCCATGGAGTCTTGGCTCACAGCAACCTTAAACTCTTGAGTTCATGCCTTGTCTCAGCCTCCCAAGTGCTCGGATTACAGGAGTGCGCTACCACACCCAGTCACAGATGTAAATTTAAAATACAAAATTATAGGGCAGCGCCTGTGGCTCTGTGAGTAAGGCGCTGGCCCCATATACTGAGTGGTGGGTTCAAACCAGGCCCCAGCCAAACTTCAACAAAAAAATAGCTGGGCATTGTGGTGGATGCCTGTAGTCCCAGCTACTCAGGAGGCAGAGGCAAGAGAATCACCTAAGCCCAAGAGCTGGAGGTTGCTGTGAGCTGTGATACCATGGCACTCTACCAAGGGTGACAAAGTGAGGCTCTGTCTCTAAAAATAAACTAAACTAAAATAAAAAACTATAAATATCCTAAAAGTGGCTGGACACAGTGGCTCACATCTGTAATCCCTATACTTTGGGAGGCCAAGATCGAAGGAATGCTTGAGCCCAGGAGTTCAAGTTCAAGATTACAATGAGCTGTGATCGCACCGCTGCATACCAGCTGGGATGACAGAGAGAGCTCTTGCCTCCAAAATAAAATAAAAATAAAAATAAAATAATAGGAGAAAATGCATAAGAGAAGAAAGGTGTTATGTGGGAACTCTGTATTTTCTAATCATTTTTCTGTAAACCCAAAAGTACCCTAAAAAAAGCCTATTAATTTTCAAAAGTGAAATTATAGAAATTTTCCCCTGTGGATATTTATTTAAATGATATCTCCATCCTACAGAGCTAGACCAATAAGAAGGAAAAGAACCATTTGAAAATTCTGAGGCGGCTTGGTGCCTGTGGCTCAAGTGGCTAAGGCGCCAGCCACATACCCCTAAGGTGGAGGGTTCAAATCCAGCCCAGGCCCGCCAAAAACAACAATGACAGCTGCAACCAAAAAATAGCCGGGCGTTGTTGTGGTGGGCGCCTGTGGTCCCAGCTACTTGGGAGGCTGAGGCAGGAGACTCACTTGAGCCCAGGAGTTGGAGGTTACTGTGAGCTGTGATGCCACGGCACTCTACCCAGGGTGACAGCTTGACACCAACAAAAAAAAAAGAAAGAAAGAAAGAAAGAAAATTCTGAGGCAATATCTACTCATTGACAAATAGCTATTGTTTTTTCTTTTTTCTTTTCTTTTTTTTTTTGAGGCAGAGTCTCAAGCTGTTGCCCTTGGTAGAGTGCCGCAGCGTCACAGCTCACAGAAACCTCAAACTCTTGGGCTTAAGTAATTCACTTGCCTCAGCCTCCCAAGTAGCTGGGACTATCGGTGCCTGCTATAATGCCTGGCTTTTTTTTGTTATTGTTTTAACTGGCCTGGGCTGGCTTCGAACCCACCACCCTCAGTGTATGCAGCTGGCGTCCTACCCACTGAGCTACAGGCACGGCCTAGCTATTGGTTTTCTTGAATTAAACATCCTTCCTAAAAAAAAAAAAAAGAAAGAAAGAAAAGAAAAAAAAGAAAACCACACACACACTCCTTGTAAAAATAATACAAGTAATTGTATTACTATACAAAACAAAAAGTCAAATTTTCTCTCCTCCCAACACACAATCTCAGTCATCAGAGGTAACCCACTATAATCTAATGGTCTAGTGTGCGCTAGAATTGTCCTGATATCCTTTCCTCTTATCTAATGTATTCAACTGATCATAAAGTTCCATGAATTCTGCCTCCTATCATCACCTCTTTTTTTTTTGAGGCAGAGCCTCAAGCTGTGCCCCTGGGTAGAGTGCTGTGGCACCACAGCTCACAGCAACCTCCAACTCCTGGGCTCAAGCGAGTCTCCTGCTTCCGCCTCCCAAGTAGCTGGGACCCCAAGTAGCTGGGACCACAGGTGCCCGCCACAACACCTGGCTAATTTTTCGTTGCAGGCATCATTGTTGTTTGGCGGGCCCAGGCTGGATTCGACCTCACCACCTTAGGTGTATGTGGCTGGTGCCTTAGCCACTTGAGCCACAGGTGCAGAGCCATTACCTCTTATCATTAACTGGTCTCCCTGCCACCATTCTTGTCCTTTTAAAATCTGTTCTTCACACTGCCACCAATTCATTCTATTAATAAAATCCACAATTTTTCTATGGTGCAATTCTAATCATGATGTCATGCTGTGGGCCAGGTGCAGTGGCTCATGTCTACAGTCTCAGCACTTTGGGAGGCCAGGGCAAGAGGATCACTTGAGGCCAAGAGTTTGAGACCAACCTGGGCAATAAGCAAGGTCCCAAATCTACAAAAACATCAGCTGGACATAGTGGTAGGTTTCTACAAGTCAGCTACTTGAGAGGCTAAGACAGCAGCCTTGGCAACAGAGGAAGACCCTGTATCTAGAAAAGAAAAGAGTGCCCACAGTACAGTGGTTACGGTGCTAGCCACATGCACTGAGGCTGGCAGGTTTGAATCCGGCCTGGGCCAGCTAAACAATAATGATAACTGCAACAAAAAATAGCCGGGCGTTGTGGCAGCTACTTGGGAAGCTGAGGCAAGAGAATCAATCACTTAAGCCCAGGAGTCTGAGGTTGCTGTGAGCTGTTACACCACAGCACTCTACCAAAGGTGACATAATGAGACTCTGTCTCAAAAAATAAATAAATAAATAAAAAAGAAAAGAAAAGTCCTTTGTGGGTTTGGGGACTCCCTATCACCAGCAGGATAAATTGCTCATATGACTTTTCATGCTATTGCGCTGCCTCTCTTTTTCAGTGTATCTCCTCCTAACTTGTAACACCCTGTACTCAGTCATACCAAGATACTTGTAAAGAACATACCATATTCTACCACTATTCTGTGCAGCTAACATATTGCTTCCACTGCCTAGAACATCCTTTCCCACTGAGAGCACCTGGAAAGGACCTATTCATCATCTAAGATTCTTTGTTTTCTTTCTTTTTTTGAGGCAGGGTCTCACTCTGTTGCCCAGGGTACAGTACCATGGCATCATAATAGCTCACAGCAACCTCAAACTTCCAGGCTCAAGTCTGAGTTGCTTTAGTTTTTTTCTATTTTTAGTAGAGATGGGGGTCTCATTCTTGCTCACACTGGTTTTGAACTCCTGACCTCAAGCAATCTGTCAGTGTTGGCCTCCCAGAATGCTAGGATTATAGGCATGAGTCACCACACCTGGCCCATAATCTAAGATTCAACTCAAGTCTGCACAAGCAGAATCTTCAACTGTAGGCAAATCTTTTCTGATCTTCCTTAGGCAGCCAGATACTCTCATTAAATCCTATATGTACATCTAGAAGTGAACTTAGTCTGGTCAGTCTATTTCTGTTATACAATGGTCTCCCCATAAAAACTTCTTGACTGCAAAGACAGTGTCTTATTTATCTATATTAATATCTATCCCTACCATCTAGCATTCTGCCTGCCACACAATAAAAACTCAATAAATGCCTGGTAAATGAATGCTTGAGCATGGGATTTTCCCTTAAAAATCTACAATAGTAATGAACATCATTCTATGAGCCTAAGGTAAAGCCAATAATGAGTAACCTCAAACTTTATTTCAACCTCTTCCTAACGTAATTTTTTGTATCACCATATTTGGAAACCCAGGTCTGAATAATACTTCTTATCTCCCTTGCTTAATTTCTCTCTCCCTCATTTCCTCTACCTGCAACACCCCTCTCAACACCCCCCAACAACTCCCTCACTGCCACCTATAGAGGACCTTCACTCTCCCAGTTTCAATTTTCTCTCTACAATTGCCAGCAATAAACACATCAACCAGTGAGAGAGTTGCTAAGACATCTGAGTTTTGGTGAAAACCTGTTCCCAAAGAAGTCTATAGGCTCAGCGCCTATAGCTCAACCGGCTAAGGTGCCAGCCACATACACCTAAGGTGGCGGGTTCGAATCCCCAGCCCGGACCCGCCAAACAACAATGATGGC